ATAGTTGAGATATGAGTCAGAGTGGTCAGAATTTCTGCATATTGCTGTATATATACAATATACTTATCTATTTATTTACATGTATCTGCTATTAAAGGTGATAAATGAGCTAGAACGCTGGGTCCGGCAACCGGTCTTATCGGCATACATTATGGTTCTAGTTTTACTGCCGGACCGCAGATTATAGTTATGTTCACAAGTTGAAGATTTTGGTAAAAGAAAATTTATGGGGTGATCGCTGAGAGACATCTTCTGAATATATTTACAACATAGTTGGAATCTTCTTTCTTTAAGGCTGCATATGTTAGTAAAATTGAGGGCATCTAAATAATTATGATATAGATAAATAATATAATATAAATACTTCAGCATTGCTCCAAAACTTTGCCACAGGAGGCCCAAAACAGGCATTTTTAGCACTTTTAGGCCTTAAAAAATGACACTAAAATTTTTTTTTTCGAGTTTAATCCACCAAACATAATTCATGACAGTCTAAACTTTTATTTTAAACCAAAATTGCTGAACCGATATATACACTGTAAGCTTTTAAAGTAAGTTACTTATTTCTTTATCTGAAAATTATATTAGATTAATTGAGAAAGATAAATGTTAGCTTAATCAGCAAAATTTCGGATGACTTTTTAGCATTCTTTTCTCATATGCTAAACCAGATGCCAAACGGAGAAAGATCATCGATCTAAAAGTGGTAAGATCAATTAAACTGTTCAGCTTTTTGTTTAATTCGTACCTTATTTCTTGAACTAGAACAGCTGCAAATATCCTGGATAATAGTTTTTGTTGTCGTATCGGTATTAAGAGAAACAATCAAAATAACTTCAGATTCCCTTGRCATGTAAASCTTGATAGTTTCCGAGTCTTCAACAGAACAGTAAGCCTATRGATTTGTAATTTCCTGRTTATTGAAAAATAAAAACATTTTCAAAAGTCCAGTGTATGATTTGAGTCCATTTTGCTGCTTTTTCTATCCAGTGAAGATCATTGATCTTCAGCAAATAAGTCCACACTGCTCTGCCTGCTCGACAAAATGATCAGAAGTCACTCTTTTCACCGCGTAGCTTTTCCTGCATTTCACATGCGACCATCAGAATTTTGTTGTTGTYGAAGTTATATTGTGCCCCGGTATTGTACATCCTTCTTTTGCTCAGAGTTGTATGAAAAGCTTAGTTTTTTTGTCTCTTTTGTTTTCTTGAGCGCGCACACTTCATTTTCAACTTTTATTCATAATATCATAGTAATTGAGAAAAGAGGRTCCAGTTCTGGACTAACGTAAACAATGATACTGTAGACAGACGCACGCGCATTACAAAGGAACGTTGAAAACAATCCTACGTAAACAATGACACTGTAGACAGATGCACGCGTATTACAATGGAGGCCCGTTGAAACAATCCTACGTAA